TGGCGCAGGGGATCGCAATGCCGCTGCGTATGTCAGGACTGGCGCCTCGGGAATCGGTGGTGTGATTGGGGTCAGGGGTGTGACGGCCTGCCGGACTTCTTGTCTGATTACATCCGCGAGGGCAGACACAGGTTGATGGGATCCCACCGCCTGAAGCTGTCGCAGTTCGTCCCGAACAATACTTCGAATGAAGTCTGCGAGGGCCTGTCTCTCGCTGTCAGAGCCGATAGAGCATGCGGTGGCCGGGATCTGGCGTTCGTATTGTGATGACCGCTGCTGCAGCGTACGTTCCATAGTGTTCGCCTCACTGATGAACTGGGCGACTGTCGTTGGTGGATTGCGCACGAGCCCAGCGAAAAGCTGTTCTTTTACTCCGCGCATCAAATGCCTCACCTTCTTTTCCTCGGGCATGGCAGGGTCCGCGCGCTTGAAGAGCCGAAGCATGTCCTCGACAAACATGGATACTCGTTCGTTCGGCCGCTGGTTTCTGCAGGATATGGCTTGTTCAGCCCTCTCCTTCCTCTCGGTGTTCCGAAAGGCGTCACGGAGCTGACGGCTAAACTCTTGCCAGGTTGCAAAGGAGCCCTCGTGGTTCTCGTACCACGTCTTCGCAGAATCCTCCAAGTAAAAGTAAACTCGGCGCAGCTTGCGAACATCGTCCCATTCGTTGATACAGGCAACCCGATCAAAGTGGTCGAGCCAGTCATCAACATCCTCGAAGATATCTCCATGGAACGGCTTTGGTGTCTGTGGCGCATGAAAAACATGGGCGAGAAGAGAACCATGGGCATCGCTGGTTTGGACCGCCTGGCTTGTCATCGGAGTTGCCATCTTTCTGGGTGTCGATGTCAAGGGACCAAATTCAGGGGGTAACCCACGCAGGCGGCGGCTGCTTCTTGCTCTGGGAGATGTAGCTGTCTCCACGATGGCCGACACAGCCGAAGTACACGTACCCAGCACCTCCACCAGTAATGTCGCGAGCAAAAACAAGACCTGCAGCCAGGAGTTCACCCGAACCGAGCAACGAAAACGTTCTCTTCTTCTTCGTAGCCCAAAACGGGTATGAGCCACAGCGGCTCGTTCATCAATGGTGGCAATATATATATATATATATATATATATATATATATATATATATATATATATATATATATATATATATATATATATATATATAAATATACGATTTATTAGATCCGCAAGTTCCTTGTATTCGGCCTCAGAGCAGGTAGATTATCCTCCCAAATCCGCATTAACGTCTCCGTCATCGCCACAGTCCAGTTCAGTTGCCTTTCGCTGAACATTTCCTTGGAAGCTGAGCTGCTCGCGTCCGACATGGGGGCCGCCATGTTGTCAATCTACGGCGTTAACAGGGGTTGCATGCCTCCGATCACGTTAAAACAGTCGTTAGCGAATTAAGTGCTGTTAAGATTTTCGTGTGACCAGGTGCAACAGTCGTTAGACTTAACGGCCATCGTACTTAATTCTGGTAGTACTGCTCGTGTGACAGGGGTATTACTTGCATTTTTGTTTCGCGATCACCGGCAGGCCTGCACGGGAAGTGCAGCACAGGCACAGCGAAAGTGGTGAGTCACAGCGAGATTCTTTCTAGAGCCTTTTTCAACACTATTAGGGCAAGTACTACTAGCATACTTCCTTGGCACCCTCTACGCCAAGAGTTGTAACTTTTGTGTAGTGGGAAAGCGCCCACTACGCATTGATTCTTCATTCTTTGGAAAAGTTGGGTACCCGCTATACACTTGTAAGGCTGCATTTTCCTGGGGCTGTGGGTGGCGACGATTACGCTTGAGATTTTTGTAATCGGTTGGACCATTCAAAGACCCACTCGTTACAGAATTCGCATTGTGTGACGTCTGGATGTAACTTTACACCATGTTCAGCAGACTATGCACGCTACGTACCGACCCTCGGCAAGGATCGCAAGCGTAAGCGACGTAATAAGCCTGTTCAGACGTTGTTGTACTCAGCGTAAAAAACGCAACGCAAAGGACGTATGCGTTTCCGGGCCCTCGACTTCTACAACATAGTGGGGACGAGCACATATCGTGGCGCCATCTTCCGGAATTCGTCTATGCACTATAAACGACATCAAGTGGTACCGGCTGTGTGACGTGTTCGACAACTCTTGTGGTTCAGGTTGTTCTACTGTTGCTGTTCTCGCTACGCAAGCGTCGGTTGTGTTTGTATTAGCTGCAAAATAATCTAGAGTGTTGCCAACGTATGGTCCCCTCCGCGCCGTGCACTTTCGAAGGAGCGCGTGCGCACGGTGCCATGAACGCACAACGTGAAGAGGTGCTCTGGTAAATGTGGGTTCTTATGAACATCATCTAGTAATCTGTGAATAGAAGCATTCTCGCATATCGCGTACATTTGTGTTTGCCGATGCAAGCGTCATAGCGCGCACATGTTTCATGATGTTGCGCGGAAAGTTGGTGGCCGAGACGGTAACGTTTGGATCTGGGTGGACTGCCACGCCGGATTTCGGCAACATCTCGCCCTGTAGTTTTTAGAGTGGTATCAAGTGGTTGAAGGGAACAGAGGATGCTTTGGCATTGATTGATTGATTTGATTTGTGGGGTTTAACGTCCCAAAACCACCATTTGATTATGAGAGACGCCGTAGTGGAGGGCTCCGGAAATTTTGACCACCTGGGGTTCTTTAACGTGCACCCAAATCTGAGTACACGGGCCTACAACACTTCCGCCTCCATCGGAAATGCAGCCGCCGCAGCCGGGGATGCTTTGGCATTGTTTAAAATTGCTTAACGTCTCACTTAGGTATCTAGAGCTTTTTTGCAGCAATAAGATTACTGTTCACAACAACCATGGTTTGTGCGGCCCGATACTTTCACCAGAATTATTTCTGCATAATTTTTCATAAGGCATACATTTCAATATGTGAAACTTCACCCGCATATATTTTGTTTCCGTAATCCTCGCTTTCACTAGACGCGCTTCTCCGCGCGGGGTGTATGGACTGATGTGATGCGCGAATGTTGCAATCATATGCTAACATCATTTGCTCGACCATTATTTACAATTACCGTATTTTAGTATCAGTGACTTTGCTGAACCCTGGCGTCAACCAATTTTTTTACCAGCCACTCAGCACATCACAGCTGCTAACAGAAGAAAAGTCCGAATATGTAACGCAAAACGACAGCATTATATATATAGGACAGAATCATTCTTGTCCTGTTGACTTTGAGCTGCAGAAGGCTAGAAAAGGCCTGGCGTGAATAAATCGCCAAATCCTTTGTGTACATTTCCGGAAAGCCCCACGTCGTAATCATCAGATATCAACGCCAACGCAGTCTAAAAAGTACTTTAGCGAAAAGGCTTGCTCCACACGCGATAATCAATGCTATTTTTTTTTCTCGGGAAGTTATCGAACATGCATCTACTTAACTTTTGTGTATGTACAGGTGCGATCAAAAGTGTGCGGACCACGGGATCACGTGGCAGAATGCATCGACGCGCCAGCTAGCGACGAGACACGACGAGACGCCTGCTGCAGGGCGCATGCGCATCCCGTCTTATCACTTGGCTTCTCATGTCGCTCTGTTGAACGAGGGTTTCGGCACTCGTCGCCAGAATAATAACTGGGTGTCGCTTTCCTTGCTCCTTCGAATCTGTGCCATTATTTTACGTAGCGGCTACGATGGGTCCGGTGCAAGCGCCGGCTCACGTTGTTACTCGCACCAGCTGATTAGGATAAGTAAGCATAGCGAGCATCGCACATTCTGACGGAGCCAAACGCACAAAATTAAATTTTGTCAGGGCAGCTCGCTTACGTCACGCTAATTCAAGTTGCACTAAATGAGCTTAGTTAAGTCGAAGTTAATGTAGCCGAAATTAATCAAACGTGAATAATTACAATAACTTAATTATGCAAAGACGTCCTATGCAGCTACAGATGTGTATATTAGACGGATCGAGGCGCGATTTGCATAATTTTGCGGAGGCGAAAATGCTGTAGGCCCGTGTGCTCAGATTCGGGCGCACGTTAAAGAACCCCAGGTGGTCGAAATTTCCGGAGCCCTTCACAATGGTGTCTCTCATAATCACATAGTGGTTTTGGGATGTTAAACCCGATATATCTATCTATCTATAAATCTATATAACTCATTACCTGACCTCTGAAATTTTGTATCAGCAGTGCTCTTTTAAGATTTTATATATTTTTTGCAAATAAAATGCGTTCACCCGCCAAGGTGGTCCAATGCTTATGGTACTCGACTGTTGAGTAAGGTCACTGGGTTGAATGGTGGCACAACGATAGAGGCCCATGAGATTAGGTTTATGTGCTCGTTAAAGAAGCCTGGGAGGCTGCATTTTTGATGGAGGCGAAAATGCTGTAGGCCCGTGTTCTCGGAATCGGGCGCATGTTAGAGAACCCCAGGTGGTCGAAATTTATGGAGCCCTCCACTACGGCGTCTTTCATAATCATATATGGTAGTTTTGAGACGTTAAACTTCACATATTAATCAATCAAAGACACCAGGGCGTTCGAAATTGCCGGAATTCTCCACTACGTTGTTTATCACAGTGGTTTTGAGATGCTAAGTTTCACCAATTTTTATTGTTCTTAAGTTCTTGGTTTAGCTTATGTGAGAATGCATCTGTAAAGGGCACTTTTTCAGACAATAAGTATACTCTGAACGCAATATTAGCCCCATCTTAGTGCTACACGAGCTGATTGCTTGTGATTAGTGCCCGAAAACGCAGCCGCCAACCTAAAGCCCACGTTTCATGCTGTTAGTCCTTCCTATCTAAGCGGGAATATATGTATGGCGACTGGGGTTTGACAGTGCATACATTCCGCTGCTGGAACGAGGGCCGTGAGACCAGGTGGTCAAAGCAAGCGCTGATAAAGGCGTGGATCTGTTACCGTGTCTTGATAATTTTGCGCATCACTAGCGCCATCGAGATCCCACTTTGTTGCATGCTTAAAACAACCGGGGTGCCCTTTCACAGCAACTGGATTGCCGTCGCAGAATTTCGTGTTACATTGACGAGGGCGTCGTCACATCGGCAAATCACTCTGAACTACTCCGTGTGCCTTGCGCCGACATTTTACCACATTAAAGGTGTCGCTGTTCGTCATTCACGTGCACCTTTCGGTGACTTCACGAAGCAGACACTCCAGAGCTTCTCGTCGTGCCATTTTCTCGAAACTCATCGGCGTTCCGAAGCAACAGCGGCGGCACACAGGACGTTGAGGAATTGGAGCTTCTCGCGATTGCACCAGTTCACTTTTTTTGCCAGCAGTTCCGTGAGTCCCCCCTGAAGTATTTCCCGTCTGTTTTCGTCCAGTGCACATGGAAGCGTTAGTGGACAGTCTGGGGGCGTCTCCGAAATACATACTGTGGGATGCGATTGCAAAAGCTTCAGAGAGCGCACGCCCACCTTATTGGGAAGTATCTGGATTTTTTGAGGAGGAAACGAAAAGCAATCGATGTTGCGTAGAACGCCTTTTAGACTTCCGAGACTATGAATCGCCACCTGCCACATGGCCAGAGCGATGTTCACCGATCCTTGGGGCACCCTCTATGACTTCCGTGCCCAACATCATAGCCGATATGGTGGCCATTGCTCAGTTGAAACAGTGTCCACCACATCTGATGTTTCCTGCAAGCTGCGGCGGAACTTATTGGAACGGAAAGAACGCTGAGAGCATTGTTGGCAGTGAGGACCTCATTTCGGCAAGAGTGAACGCAAGGTAAGCTTTTTTTTTTGCCAGCTGGTGGAGCGGCTGTGTCTATCACCACCATATTTGTGCTTAAGCTATGGGTGTACTTGTACTGTTCCAGGGAGTGCTTGCCTTATGAACCATTTCTTGCACATATTTCTTTGGAACAAAAGTGTCATTCCTGCCATTGCTGCAGTGTAAAGAAAGGTTGCAGAAATGTTCTCTACGCATAATCTCGAACGTAGTTTTCATCAAATGCTCATATCTCGACATTCCGCCGTTTCATTAGAAGCCAAATGAAACGCCGAAATTCATGCAAGCATCATTGCTTTAATTAACCCCAATGTAGCATAAATTGTGGCTGAGCAGTGATGAACACGTTCTAGGCGACGTTATGAATATATGCTGTCGATAACAAGGCAAAGCACACCTAAGCTGGCCGCGAGGCGGTAAAATACGAGCTGGGGTGGGATATGTCTTTGTTCTTTTACGGCGAAAGCTGTTATCACAAGAAGGGTCATTTTTATTGCGCCGTCGTCAGTGTCCGAGACTGCTATCACGAGATAAAAAAAAACACGAATTAAACATACAAGATGGAACAGGGTTAATACTTAAACCTTCTCGGTGGCCGCAGAGTATTCTATACCACAGTTCCATGCCTATGCTCAGATCTCCTTCACAAATAAACCATATACGTGCGTTATGTTGAGATTAAATCACTGTAGTATATATATATATATATATATATATATATATATATATAATATTATAGCATGTAGAAGGGTAAAATAGCAACCAGTCGCCACAAAAAAAAAACGAACTACGTAGCAAGTGGGTCGGCGAATGCTTCTGACTCATTACAAAGTGGTTCACTGTAAAAGGGAACAACGGAGCGTGTGGTGGATGTTCGGCGCCACCCCGGCCGGTGGTGGCAAGGAGTTTAGCTCAGGCGAAATACCCTCTGTGAGCCAGTGGTGTATAGCCAAGGGGGGAAGTAAGGAAGGAGTGAAACCTTTCAAAAATTTTTAAAATTTTGCTTGCGCATACAAACGCCCGCACGAGTGTATCCAACGTACGGTTGAACCCTTCAATTCCACGCGGAAAAATGTTCGGCTACGCGCCTGCTGTGAAGGGAGCTATTCCATCGTCCGATAACACGCACTGCCGTGCGTCGAATAGTCGCGCGTACCGTTGACGAGACGAAAAAAGACCGCGCATGGTGCTATGCGCGCCTGCGTGGAACTCGTTTCAGCCCCCGGCCCGCTGTGGCGGCCACGCGCTCTCAAGTTTGCTTTAACAGTAGAACCCTGCGTACGCTGGAATGACTTCCTCATTTGTTTCTGTTTTTTTCTTTATTGAAATGTCTTCGTTTGCTGAGCTGTGTTGCTCCTTTTCATGGTTCGTCTTCTCTTGCTGTCATGAAGGCTGTCATTCAGTGAACTACGAATTACCACACTTAAAGCCAGAAACACCTTGTGAAAGAAATTATGAAACTCATTTGGTGAGATGCAAAACCGCAAAAATGCCGCGATGCGTTAATCTCTTACTGAAAGTGTAGTTGAATGGCCTCTCATTAGGTTACAATAAACTGTTTTTTAATCGTGTGTGTCCTCTACTTTCAGTTCCCGCTACATTCATGTTCGACTCCAGGGAATGAAGTTGAATCATCGTTACTTCGTCTCCTTCAATATGCAGCTGTGTGGCGATACAAGCGATCCAGACCATGACGTCGGTGAGTTTGAATAGCGCGTAAATAATTCCAAGATTTTTGTGGGATTTTTCTCCACTCTCTAAAGAAACCCATTGACAAAGGAAGAAATAGTCCGCGTAAACGAGAACTGTTTCCTTAGTTTTCACGATTTGACTTCACATAAAATGTCTACCTATAAGCGAGAAGCACGCATCTGTCATAGAAAAAGTGTTAAGCTGAATTAGAATGGCAAAATGATTAAAACGAGAGCAAAAAAACATGCCACGAAAATCAGAAAGTCACAGGAAAAGCTTTTTTTCCTTGTTTTCGTACTCCTTTTACTAATGTATTAGTATCATAACTTCGCACTACAAGAGAACACTCGCCCAATGACAATCTGAGTCAATCACCCTAATTTTTTTCATACTCACGTTCATACTCACGTGAGCTCACCACACCCTTGAATATTCGTTCAAATTTCCAAATTTTTTTTCATAAAATAAGCTACTCAATCACGTTCATGCTCAAATATTCTTATACTTCAGGATGCGCGTTCTCGTTCACACTCACGTGCACTTACTCATACGTTATAACTTCTGCTCATACTCACATATATGCGCATTCTGATTTACTCATTTAGGTTCATACTAACGTGCACTAACGCCTACATATACTCACGTTCATATTCGCATATATTCGCAGCTAAAGTGCAGCTACTCATTCAGGTTCATATTCGAATGTATTCACACTGAAATAGCACCTTCTCACTCATGTCGCTTATTCTTGCACTGCAAGCTACTCACGCTCATACTTACGGGAACTCGCACACATAAGTACTCACCGATGTTTAAAATCACGTCTGTTCACTCAGCCTCGCCAACCTTAATTAAATAGATGTTGTGACGATGCATCGTCTGGTCAGGAAGATGCATGCAGAAAAAAATTGGCAGATTCTACGTACATTGGGAATCGATGATATGCGAAGCACGAATGAGGAAGGTTGATATGTCACATTAAAATCGGGACAACTTTATGAGGCGGACTTAAATTATACCGTACATAATTTCCATGTCAAGATAACCATGTTTAGACGTGTCATTTATTTTCGTCGTCTATTCACGTCACGGCATACCAAATTTAATATATGTGGAGCTAGCGAAACAGCTGCGAGCGTGCTATGAGCGTAGCTTGTAGTCATGTTTTACGTGACACACATGTCAAGTGGATGTATCATGTTCGAACGTGTCACTTACCTTTGTCACCTATTGACGTCACGAAATACCAAATTTAGTATACGTGAAGCGAACTCAATGGCCGCGAGCGCATCATGAGTGTGGCATGTATTCATGTTTTTACATGACATGCATCTCATGATTATCATGTTTGCACCAGTCGTGTCTTCATCATTCATTCACGTCCCGTAATACCACATTTGGCATATGTGAGACCAGTGAAACGACCGCGAGCGCACCATGAGCGCGGCGTGTAGCCATGACTTACATGACACGCATATCACGATTTTCACGTTGGGGTCTGTCACACCGGTCCCGTTAATTAGGGAGGCGATCGCCGGGCTGATTCCAAGGGCCGAAGTATCGGCCCCCCGAACCGCACCACGAAAGCGTGGACAATTTAGAAGTGGTCCTTTTTGGCGCACCAGCGGACACCGGCTGTGGCCCAAAGAACAAGTCAGAGCCGAGAGTTGATAAACATAACAAAAAGTATATTCTCAAAAATGGCAGATCGAAAACAATACACAAGAATGCACACTCCACAATAGTTGAGTACAATTTACACCAATCAAACAACGTACTACACAGTACAATCAGCCACACTCGAAACAACGGACACAGACAACAATACTCACTACAATGCACTCGCATGCATTGAACAACCAAGACACTTAAAGACTAAAGAGATAGGAAACCTATTCAGTCCAAAGTTCTTGGAACATGAGTCTGGATGATACTCTTCCGAGAATCACTCACTCAAAGTCCAGCGTTGTTGTCGTTCCGCAGCCCCCGAAGTTTCTCTTCCAGGAAACCTCGCCGAAGTTTCTCTTCCAGGAAACCTCGCGTCTTCAATTGGCCACTCTCCAAGCTTCAAACTTCTTCGCCGGAAACACGTCGGCTTCACACACGCAGCTGTTGCCACGCGTCTTCGCTCGATAGTGGTAAACACACACTCTTGCCTGTAGCTCGAGTCGTCACCCCTCAGGTGGAAATCATCTTCTTCTCCTGCTTTGTCTCTACGGACAAAACCTTCGCCGACTACACGGTGGTATACCCTACGCGCTCTTGCGCTAACTTCCGTCTTCTCCTGATCTCTCACCTCGGCTGCTCGATTAAATACCCTCCGCGCGAGATTCCAGAAGGTTCTCGTCATTTCGTCGGCGCGATACGCAGCGAAGGCTGGGGAGAGGGCAAAACGGTTGGAATGCCCTCCGCGGCGGATGACTCAACTCGGTATGACCACGCCCCTTTCCATCTAGAAAAATCGAGTGCTTGCTCGGCCGCCGTTGTGGGGTGAGGAGGTTCGTCGGCGAAGCCACGCTTCCGAGGGGAGAGAGTCGCGCGCCCGGGGAGCCTTGGATGTTTGTTTTCTCTTTTTTTGTTCTTTTATCGTTGACCTCGCGGCGTCACTCCGGCGCTTCGTCGCGAGAACCCGGCGGCGCGCCCCCTTTGAGCGCTCGTTCTGTGACACTGCCCCCCACTTTAAGAATATTATCTCATAATATTCAAAACCACACAAACGAGCGCGAACAGTCCCCACACACGCTCAAAGACTGTAACATAGTCCGTCGCTCATGACACGTCACATTCACAATAGATCGCTCAATACAATCGTACATTGTAGTTCAATTCCACAACACATAAAATATAGCCACAGGTACATGACTACAACACTTCATCACACATTCCAAACAATACAAACGTACAAAGTTCTGTCTTTACAACAATTATACAACACTATACATCACATCACCGCACAGAACACTTTGACTCGCTCGACATACACTTGTGACACAGGATAACAAGAACATTAACACAACCTATGTCACTCAGCCCTGCCAAACACAATCCGATTCCACCTCAGCACCTATCCTGTGTATTTCGAGCTGCGCTTGCGTCCTTTCTTGCGGTGCTCACTCGATCTCTTCTTGTTTTTTCTTGTTCTTTTTCGGCGAGCCTTTTCCAACGACGGGGTCTGAGGCGGCGTCTCAGCCATCGTTGTCACTTCTGGCACTGTTAACGGGTGATAACGCTCAACCGATCCTGTCACCCGCTTGTTCATGGCATGACATTGGGCCTGGCTGGCCGACTCCGTCACCTTTACACTGTATGTCGGTAGAGGTCGTGCCGACGTACGTCCAGCTGTTCTGCCCGTGAACTCATTCAACACGATCATCTCATTCACTGTCTCTTGCGCCGCGGCTTCACCTTGGGCTCTAGTGAGATCCGTCACGGGATGCTCCTCCACTGTATCTCGCGGTCGCTGGATTAGCGAGGGCTCCATCTTCGGGTCTTCTCCCAATCGTTCTGGATCATTCGGCCCTCGCGCCCCGTCGATGTTTCCGATGACAAGGTCGTACAGGGGAGTCGTCATGCATAAAGCGGTAACCTTCCCGCTGAAGTACGGGGTTTCAACCTCAATTTCTGCTTCGGGAAGCATCCGAACTGTACGGTCAATTAGGCAAACCGGTTTCATTTTGCCTGTTAACTCACTTTCCCGTACCAAATTTACCCGCACGATAACAGTGGAGCTGCCGGTATCTCTTAACACCGTAATCTTTTTGTCCGCAACTTTTCCAGGCAGCGTTGGCATTCCCTTCGAAACACCGGTGGGCTGTTTTGTCATTACCGCACCCACAATAGGAATTTTCTCCCCATTTTTCAACTCTACAAATCCGTCGGTGACGGCATTATCATCGTATTTCGGTGCTGCTAGCACACAGGACACCTGGTGAGTTTGACTCGCTCCGTTTCGACATGCGTCTGCTTTGTGCCCAGTCTGACCACACTTGAAACATTTTACTACCGTAGGGCTTGTAAAGATCGTTCGACAGTTTTTCGCGCGATGACCCACTCGGTTACACAGAAAACATCGCGGAACGCTCTCCGGTGCACGCTTCTTTTCTTCGGGAGCCGATTTCTTCGAATCTTCGGGACAATCCTTCTTGACCTTGGCCAAATTAGTGCCACCTTGCGCTTCCAAGAATTGATCAGCCGATTCAAGCATGCCTTCAAGTGAGTCAGCCTTCCTCTCTTTCAAGTACAGCGACAGGCTTGGGTGGCAACTAGTGAGAAACTGTTCTCTAATAAGGAGCTCTCTAAGCTCATCGTACTCCTGCGCTGTCCCTGAAAGTTCAATCCATCTGTCGAAATAATGGCAAAGTCGGGCGGCATACTGCGTAGCCGTCTCACCATCAGCTGGCTTTCCTGTCCGAAATCTGTCCCGGAATCCTTCCACAGTAAATCTAAATCGCTTCAGCAAAGCAGCTTTCACCTTTGCATAGTTGGCTGCATCGGTCGGCGTCAACCTACCGTACACACTGAGCGCTTCACCACTCAAGCAAGTACTCAAAGCAGTTGCCCATTGATGTTCCGGCCAATTTTGGCTCCTTGCGATCGTCTCAAATCTGTGAAGGTACGCGTCAAGGTCGTCCTTCCTTTCATCAAACGCTATGAGCAGCTTGCTTGGGTTCAAGCGGAAGCCATGATCTTCCCGTTCGCTGCTTTCGACTCTAGCTTGGACGGGAGTTTCGCTTCGCTGTTGCAAACGGAGCCGCTCGAGTTCCATCTCGTGCTGCCACTGCCGTTCCCTTTCCTCTCTTTCTTCTTTCAGCTGTCGCTCCTTTGCCTCTCTTTCTTCCTTCAGCTGTCGCTCCTTTGCTTCTCTTTCTTCTTTCGTTCTTTCGGCTGCCAATTTTTCTCTCTCCAACTCCAACTTCAATTGTTGCTCTCTTTCTTCCTTCGCCCTTTCAGCTGCCAACTTTTCTCTCTCCAGCTCCAACTTCAATTGCTGCTCTCTTTCTTCTTTCA